TTTTGCCTAGCTTTAGCTTTACAATTTGGCACTTATTAAAGAATTCTTAATCTTTACTCGCATTATAGACCAGCTCATGCTCTCTCGTGTTGCCTATTAGTTTAAATTATGTGGTTTTATTGCTCTCCATTAACACAACTCATACTAGCTTATTAGGAGGAAGGATTCAAGATATTTGACTTATTTATATTAAGTTTGAGTAAGAAAAGAGGATATAAAATAATGGATAGGCAAATCAATAGAACATAAACAAATAATCCTTGTTAATAGTACTGATTTCGCTCATCGTTGTTGCGAGTTTTAGTCTCTCTGAAAATACAACCAAGTTGCGGAAACGAGGCCAAATCAGCTATCTAAATTCAGTAGGTTTTATTTTCTTGATTGCCTGATCTTTTGGGTATCGATGACGTTTGTTGACTAGTGGAGGCAAGCAACCACACATTTTTCTTAAATAGGTTACTATGATTCGCACTTTTATTCGGATCCACTAAGCTGATAATTTTGATTCCTATTCATTATATGCGTAGCCATAAATTAGGAATACGAATTTTTTGTCTTTCTTAATTTCGATCTCTTGATATTTTTTATCTATTAATTTGTCTAATGAGCTGTCTCTTTTTCATTTATTTTTAGCTGCAAATTGGATATTCGTACTCGGGGGTTGACTGTCTTCTTTGAAATAATTAAAACCTATGGTGGCCAATTCAAGATCCACTGGTGGCAGGAGACTTTCAGCATTATCTTTCGTGCTTTCCACCATATACGCGCATCGGAGCCTAAGTGGCGACGCCTCTCAACGGTGAACAGTAAGCTGCATCCATCGAAAATCTGTCATGCTTTGACTTTTATACGAGATTTTGTCGGAACTCATCTTGCATTCCGTATATTAGAATTTTCTAATGGGGCTAAAGATCATCATAAAATGAGGGTTCGTTTTAAGATTGCAACATAATTGAAATCCTCTTTCGGATCAGTGAATTCTACTTTCCCCAGCATTCCTTGCAAGGCAATACAGCATGTTAAGATGATTGCTGCGTTTCTGAGATTCTCATCAGCTTCTGTTACTACATTTCACCAACATAGGATATATTATGAGATATATTCATCATATTTCGTTTGGTTGGATGAGGGACTGGTAGTTGAGTTTTACCACAATGGTATGATTATACCTTATGTTTTCATTGCATTTCGCATAGCCCCGCTTCTAAAAAGTTATTCTAATTAATGGTGAACTGCAGTTGGATATGACAAAAGGCCTGGCCTTCCTTTAAATTCACATCTGTCCTGTGACCCTTGGGCACTCGTGTCAATGGAGAATAGTGGTTAACGTGTCGAAATTATACAATGCGTTGTCATGATTCGAGTCCCGCTGGTGGTGTTGGTAAGATTTAGGCGAGGTCGAAGCTGCAGCTTACCCTGAGTGAGAATACCTTTTAAGAAGCAATTGAAATTTAATGGAATTTTAAGGTCTATTTATATCATTGTGATAAAATTCAACTACCAGTCCTTCATCACCTTACACGAATTAGGGTAAATACATCTCACATATCCGATATTGCAGTGTCGAGATCGAGTATTCGAAGGCTGGAATTAGTGTTTATAATGGAAATGTGGCTCATTGTCATGTCACATTACGCCATATTGCATTCCATATAAAATCAGGAGGAATCTTTTTCAGAGTTCATTATAACCTTAATTGGTTGTGCTGATTTGTATAAATTGTCGAGCATTATTTGAATTAGCGTTGCTTTGACCTCGTTTTCTCAACTTGGTCGCGGTGATAAGAAGACCTTGTGAAACGTACCTAGTCTCGTGTTATATGCCATAGTATTTGTGATTTCCAGCATCGGACCATTGGTTTGGTACATTCCCAGACGTTTCGCCGGCATCATCAGTAAGAGGCGCCATCGTTAGCACAAAGTTACAACTTATCAAAGTGACGTCTTGGAATATACCAAGTCAATGGCCCTATTCTGGAAATAACGAATACTATGGCAGAGAACGCAGGACTCAATGCTTTCATCAAGGTCTCCCCGTCGCTGCGACCAAGTTGCTAAAACAAAGCTAAGCCGATAATATGAAGCTAAAGGAGGCTGCTACCAAGCAGAAGGCCACACCATCCGGGTCTTCATATATACGGTAATTTGATTCCGTCCGTTTTTGTCTAAATTACTTTTGCTTCTTAATTATAAGCGCCAGCATTGAACGAAAAGTTAAATCTGGATCAAATTCAGTTTTGTCATAAGATTTTGGCTTTTATGTTGACAATTATTAATGCCTACTAAATGTGTATGGAGCAGAGTCAGTATGTCTGAGCAACGTCGAGAATAAATGAAGGAATTTAAGAGTAGATAAGCATCAGTGAAATAAAAATAATTTGCGAAGAAAAGTTAAGTTTAGAGGACTCTTATTTCGTAATTGTTGAACTTGCCTCCATTTCTAATAAAGTGTTTGGTGAAGAGATCCGAAAGTCGATCCGACCAGAAGACGACAAAAACCTTTTAGTCTTTGTGTTCGGTGAATTATCGTAAAGCATGATGTCCTGCTCTGACAATGTTCGTCACATGACGGACAAAAGCTCAGCAAGGATACATCGGTGTCGCAGGACTGTGCACCGAGGACCTATTCGCACAAATCTACAATCAAAGCTCCAATGCAATCCCTCTACAGGTTCTGGTGAGGCCAACTTACAAATCCTTTCCACTCACCTCTTCAAACCAAATTATAAGTACTCCTTAATTGGCTAAGCTTTCGTTTGTCGTATGGTGGATTTATTCAGAGCAGGATACCATCCTTACAACCATATTCAAGCTGAGTCAAGAAAACTCACCGGCTCATTCCTAAATGATGTAGATATACCCTTTAGCTAAGTTCTTACATGATGATATAAAGTACTTCTGTTAGTTTAAATCATATGTCAATCTCGAAGCAAGTAAGTATGTCTGTGCATGTTTATATGCCTTTGCGTGTTCGTATATGTACGAAACCATCAATGATTGCTCAAAGTAATTAAAAAATAAAAAGTAACGGATTGACCTCGTCGCAATTTGGTCTTGTTGTCAGGGCGACTTGGTAGAAGCACCTAGTCCGAAATCGTCTGTTATATAAGTTGTCATGATTCCCATCATCAGACAGTGGACTTGGTACATTCTCAAACGTTTCGCCGGCCTTATAGTCGGCATAATCAGTGAGTTTTGCCATTCACCACACCAAGCTACGAACTTGTCAAAGGGACTGTAACCGAGTGAAATCGGTCAACCAGAAAGAGAAGGAACGAATCCATGAGACAATGAGGGGATCCGGATTGGAGGTCCGAGTCGGATATGCCGATATGAAGAGAGGGGTCGGGGTAAATAGCAAGCGTGATGGGGCCACACTAGATTTGCCACAAAAGGGCACACATTTTGGCGAGTGGAATGTAAACAAATGAGTTTTGATAGGGCA